CACGCACTCTCTCACACACACACACACACTCATTCACTCACGCACTCTCACACACACACACACACACTCACTCACTCACGCACTCTCTCACACACACACACACACTCACTCATTCTCTCACACACAAACACGCACTCTCTCACACACACACACACACGTATTGGACTTCATTTTTGTATATTTAAGCTCATATTTGTTGGAGTTCTGACACATTTCAGGCAAACAGTTCAATCCCGTTGCTCTCTCTGTGTCTCTGCAAAAAAGCTGAAAAAAAATCGTTTTTTTTTTTTTTTTTTGCATTGTGACCCTAAATTCTTATGACCAATTCAATAATGAGAAACATCCTGAAAGTGTTTTTTAAATTTTTTTTTATTAAAATTGGCATTCAAATTCAGTAATGAATCAACAAACACTACCATGATGGACATCCTGCTCAAACGTTGTAATCGTTCGGGTTTCAGCAGCATGCGAGCGTTTAAACGGAGTCACAATGCAAACAGCCGTGAAGCTGAAGCGTTTGGTAAAGAGATCTGAGTCCATCTGATTCCTCACAGACCCACCGTAGACCAGCGCCGCCGCATCGGCTCTAGTGATGCACCGAGAGGAGAATTCTGGACTGAAACCAGAAAGAAATTATTTAAGAATTCATTAAGTTGTACAAACATTGAATGCAGTATAATACATTTGATGTGCATACATTTGCACATAATACATTTAAACAGTGGCTTTAATTAAAACTTGTATTCATGATGGTTTTATTATAATGAAGTTAACAGGTTATTTAAAAATATAAATTTTCTGTCTGACTGACGAGTCAAATTGCTGTATTTCTGGATGCTGATGTTGCGGTGCATCACTAATTAGCCTGTGTTTGACCCGAGGCGAAGTGAGAGCGCGTTTTCGCGGCGGAGGAGACGGTGGGTCGTGACAGACGTTCTGGATGAAGTGTGTTGATCTTGAGCTGCTGTAACTGTCTCTCTCCACTCTCTCCTGACTGTCTCCAGCTCTGTGCGTTTCTCTCTCTCTGCAGACCTTTATCTTTCAGTGTCCCAGACAGGACAGGTAGACACAGGTACTGCTGAACCCCACACACAACTGTCACGCTCCTCCTGAGGACAGACGCTCACACGGACGTGCCTCATAATCAATCAGATCCAGAACAGAGCCGAACGTTCAGTGCTGAATAATCATGATGTTTCATGCTTAAAACATGTAAACAAGCATCGGTGTGATTCTGGGTTGAGCGTTTGTCTGATGTGGGACTGTCAGTCCTCAGGATCACAGGTTAGATTAGAGCAGATCTGTGTGAATATCATGCGGATCATCTAGAGATGACGGTAGATCCGTAGCACACGCACGCACACACTCACTCACTCACTCACTCACACACACAGACACACACAAGCGTGGAGGGTAAGTACAGTATTCTCATCTGTGCTGTTGTTCAGTGTCTGTCTGAACACTGTCCCATGATGCACTGCTCCAGCTGAACAGACGGCGGGTAAAGACTGACGGATTGATGAAGACTCACATCTTCAGGCATCACAAACCGTCTGGACGCTCTAAGAGCAGATTTACATCAGAAGCCGAGAGCGTTTGTCCACATGCAGTCGGTCGGTCTTTACTCAGCTGTGTACTTGTTCTGATTAGTTAGTTTCATTTTTAACTAGTCTCACTTTGTTCCTTCATGTAATTTGGCATTAAAGCAAACCCTGCAGATGTAAGTGAATGTTGATTACACGATTGCAGAACAGACTGAAGAGCGATATTCTCTCTGCTGAAAACAGCCTGAATCATCATTAATCAGAGTTTAATTAGTTTCTGATCAGTGGAGCTGACCGGATTAACTGCGTAACCCTGCCGCGAGCACAGTGTTAGTTTAGAATCATTCAGATACTGTTATAGTTAGTGTTAATATTCATTTTAGTTCAACTTCTTGTAATTTAGTTGATTTTGTCATTTTTAGTAGTTTTATATATATATATATGTGTCAAAGACGAAAGAGGTTTTCAGAACATTAAAAGACTATTTCAGGATCACAGTTCAGCCCTAACGTACTAATTCGTTGTCATTTTAAATCTTCACCAATTTTTGCCACGATCCTTCAAACAATTAGGTTCACTTATTCTTTATATATTTTAATAAGCACAGGTCAGAATAAGTATGTTAAATTTTTTATTGAAATATCTATTATGCTGAATGACAGTGAACATTATTTCACCCATATTTTGACATTTTATTTGAACAAACATTGTTTGAAACATTAAAGTAGACGCTTGCAATTAATATGCTTTGTGTGTATCTAAAATCACTTTTGTAAATTTAATTTGATGCGGACACGTCTCGTCTTTGACCCGTATGTATGTCTATATGGTTATTATTACTTTTATTTCAGTTTGAGTTATTTTAGTACGTCAAGTTAAACCATTTGAAAATGAGAAATTGGGCAAATAGCTGAATTTTAATTTCAATTTTTTAATGGTTTTAACCCTTCGTGCACATGAGCTCACATACGCTCAGTCTGAGTTTCTGAGGGTTTGTGTGTCTCTGATTCCTCCTCATTTCATCTGGATCAGTTTCTGCGGAGCGCATCCGCTCTCTGTCCTGTCCTTCGTCCTTCTCCTGCTTCTGAAGTCTTCCACACTCCGTTTCTTCTTTGGGTTTCCATCCCGTCTGATTGTTGAGTAATGCATGAGCAGAGCTTTGAGATCAGAGCGTTTGTTTGCATCTTGTGATGTACAGCGTGACTGCTGGTCTGTGCCGGTCTGTGCTGTCTGTGTCTGGTCTCTGTGTAACTGTGTGTTTGTGTGTTCAGGCCGGGATCGCGGGGGCTCCGGCACGCGCCGTGTCAGCCGTCAAGAACATGAACCTCCCAGAGATGCCCAAGAACATCAACATCGGGGACATCAGCATCAAAGTGCCAAACCTGCCGTCTTTCAAATAGTGAACGCTGCACGCCTCTGAAACTGTGTTTACCAGAATCACACAGATCTTGTGTTGCATCACAGACGATGAAGGAACTGTGTGATGCTGTCAATGAAGTATTTGATTCTTCTGTCCTCTGGGTGTCTCGCTGCCGTGTTGGAGGTCACGCGCGTGCGTGTGTGTGTGTGTGTGTGTGTGTGTGTG